TTGAAGTATGGCATTAGTAAAGGTGGATGAAAATGTCAAAATTCAAATCAACGTACTAAATTTGGAAAAACAATTTAAACCTTGCTTGAGGTTTTAAAAATTTGGTTTTTGAGTATTGAAAAAAGTTAATGCATATAAGAGGAAATGGAAACATAGTTGTTGATTGCATTCTGATGTAATGAATAATTACCTTACATTATTGACCAGATGTTTCCGCTGGTAGCTTCTCATTTGAATTTGCATCACTAATACTAGCTGACATGACAAAGTAAGTAGAACGTCCCTAATTGCAACACATTAATTAAATCTCTGTCCATAACTGATCTGTTGTCCACGGTGGTTTACAACCCCCATTTCCTGTTCATACAACCAAACGTAACATAATTTGGTGAAATTACAATTTATATCGAATAGTAACTCACTCCAATGGATTGAAACACATCCTATTTGCAATGTTTTTTTTTTTTTACAATTTTAAAATTTGCTCAACTTTCATATGACATTTGGATAGAAACACAACTTGTAAGCTCTCTAGAAATGTACAAACACGTGGGCGGGAGGGATAACCCTATTGGTAACTCAACAATGGTAAAGAGCTGAAATTAATATGATTTCAAGTGAAAATACTGAATGATAATACTATTTTATTTTGATTAAAATGTACCATCAGCCAACTTTCTTAACCTGAATTTAATAGGACCCTCTTTTGTGTTCATAAAGGTTTTAATCCTCTGTGGATTAAATTCAACAAACTGAAAGTATTCCTTGGTTTGACCACATGTTAAAGGTGCTCTATCGAATTAAAATCTAGTGACTGTCAATGCTGTTGCAATTTTAGAAACCAGTTTGATATGATTTTAGCTCTGTGGCATGGCGCATTGTTCTGCAGACAACGCGTCAGTGTGGGACACTGTAACAATGAAACCATTTATATCGTCAACAACTGTATACTTAGGTAAACTCTTATATTAAAAATTATACAAAGTTCAAAGTGAATTAATTGATCTTTCTTGCCAATTTTGACACTGATTTAGACTTTAAGCAGGTTATCTTTACTTATTTGCTATGTTGCTGGAGTTTTGTTGACTGACTGATGATTGTTTTAGCATGCAAGACGCTAGCATGAACAAAAGTAGCCATTCAAAAAGCAGTGTGAATTTGGAGCCTAGACGTTACATTTAAAAGAAACAGCCTGCAATTGTCACTGTGAATTTTGTAACAGTACTGAATTAAAGTTGTTGGGTTGGTCTCCTTAATGTTGCAAAGCCAGGAGAAACAAATTTCAGCTGTAAGCTACTAATTAACTTGTGCAAAGATTCAGCTCTGTTGGATTTGTAAGCATCAAGCTTGTCATGTTAGTTTAGAGCCCTGAAACAAAGTGTTAACTGCAGATTTCTCTGCTACAGAAAACTCACTGAACAGTTTCATCGTGTTGTCATTCAAAACCAATTTACAAGGCAGTGGTATCTCATTATTGCAGCAATTTATTTCCAATTAAAAGAAATGAATCACATTATCTTTTTCACAGCATGGTGCAAATAAGTGGTTGAAAAATGAACATAAGTGACATATAAAAGTACATTACACCAGGAAATTTATCTTATTTCTCTTAAATATTGGTCAGGTTCTTTTAAGGACAAGAACAAAAGGTCAGATGTAATATATATGTTAATTTGTCAGCTATATTAAACAGTTTATTCAACATCTTTTATTTATACTAATGTACATCAGCATTCAATATGAAAAACTTACCATATTTCTATTATGAAGGAAAAAAATCATCCATATGCTTAACTATTAATCTAATGGCACGTCTACAAGTAAACTCATTGTTAGAAAAATTACTATAGGTTTTTAAGACGTCTTGCAAATATGATCATGTAGTGATTTCTGTTAATTATTGAAATAGAATAAACTGGAAGAATAATCCAAGTTGCACATCTTTGACAGTTGGTGTAAAGTTTTACCCTTATTTAAAACAACCAAAACCTCTTGCTGAGATTGTACATTAGAAATTCACCTGTTTCTATTCAGAATTGTCTTTCATAACTTGGCTTGCATATAGCTGTAAAATATTCAACAGTTTCCACATGCTGTCAAAGTCTGTGGTCAGCTTAAAGTTGTGCAAGAGGCACAATCCAAGATCCAGTTCAAAGCTGAGAGAAGTCTTTCTGGAAACGATATCAGCAGTTTTCTCCCTGCCCACATTTTGTTTTCCTCTATATAGCACATTTTAAAAATGAAACAAGTGGACCCTAGTCACGAAAAAGCTGATGCTTAGGAGTAGCAACTGGCATGCCAGCAGTGTTTTACCACAACCACATCATAAGCCAAATTTGATGGGAAATACCTAACTATAAAGTCTCCATGGTGAGTTGGAAAGGCACTGTGTGTAAATTTTACTTCAATTACACGTTTTTTAGCATGCATTTTAAACTGAGAATACAGCAGTTTTTGAATTGTGCAACATGCAGGTTAAACTGTCAATGATTTTGAAGAGAATAAGTGAAGGTTGGTAGCTTTCATGACAATGAGGAAAAGCAAACTCCCTTAATTTAGCAACCTAAAAACCAGTAGCTTAAGAGAGTCCCCACTTTTCAGTGGTTTGAAACTATGCAGTTCATTAATGCTTGATAACTTCCTTGGACAGCATATATACGGTCTTATGAAAACAAACGTTTTTTTTGCAGTTGCATTCAGACTTGATTAAATCCTTTCAAATAAGTTGGAAGCTGAACATTGCCCTCCAACTATGAAACAATGGGGAACCTTATTTTTCTCACATACGCAGGCATATTTACAAGGACAAACAAAGGGCTGTCATGTAATTTGCCATAAAACAGCTTTTTTATTCATTATTTCTTCCCAATTGTTCTCCTAATTAGTGGTTGTTTACCTTTGCAACACATCTGTGTCTGTGACTTTACTAATAGGAACTTTTTTAGTTTGAAAAAAGTGGAGCTACACAACATTAGTCAGGTTGTTATACTGTTGTACCTAAAGAGTATATTTGTAAAAATCATGGATCATAAAACTTTTGTGATTGTAATTGCAATGTCTACATGCATTTATAGATATATTAGAGTGTTTGAAGATGATTTATATACTGTATATCTATTGTGTTGTCAATGCTCCCTGTAAGCTGGTGCTTGCACATTTGCATACTGCTGTTCACATTTTCAGAGCACAAGAAAACCTGTGAGGTGCATAAAATAAAATCCAACATAAACTGTAAATCACTTTGACCAATGATTATCATCTTGAATCTGTGTATCATTTGTTTTACAGCTTAAAAGCAACAATGACAATATGAGAAACAACTATTATATAATTTATATTAGTAGAAATGCACAAACAAACAAGGGAGAGATAAAGAATTACAATAATTTATACTGTATCACAAGCTTGATCACACATTTCATTCTGTTTTAATGTGAACAAAAGTTATGTGTGAAAGGTGTTACATATAATATTTTTTCAAGAGCAGGACCCTCACCCTGGCAAGATCAGGACTCTTAAATAGCAAACTACACATCTCATGAACAAAAAGTTTCTTTGTTTTTATTTTAAGTTGGCAAAAACAATATTGATCTTAGCTTGCATGACTGATTTTACTCAAAATGATCCTCACTGTTCCCAGGGGGCTAATGCGTATGGTAAAAATTTAAGAATTTGAAAAATGCAGAAAGCTGCATTAAATATCATTTGCCTGAGATCACAGTGTGGTGTGTCAACCTACCCTGTGGCCTGTGCAGATTCTTGTAAATCATGGTCTCCGGTGCTTTTCATAACATTTAGTTACCTACAATGCTAACACCAGTGCCATTATAGAATAGATTTGTTAAACCATATCATCTAGTTGGATGAATTAAAAATTTCTTTTAGCTGGCAATGTATTTTCCAACAATAATACCTTATTTTTTTCTCTGAAAATACATATCACAATCAAAAAGCTAAGACTTTTAAATAAAAAAGATGATCTAATAATAATTAAAAGATAATTGTGGTTAGAAGGGACCAAATTGTACATTTTAGGTTCACAAGTAAAGGGGTGTGTCAGCCACAAAACCTACTCTGTTCATCATCTAATAGACACCAGTCCCTGCTGGAAGATAGTTGTGACTTTACTTTTCTAATAAACAGGATCTAGGAAGGTATTCATAAATGAGAGGATCATTGACAGAGCTAAATAAAGGAATGTGCTGGAAAAACTTCTGAAAATTAAGAGTTTTGATATATGGATACTGACTTTACATCTCTGTCATACTTTTTAGATCTGCATTTGTAAAAGAAATTGCAAAACATTTATTATAATGCTTCCCCTTGACAACCGTGTACCTATTTATCTTAGGCTAGACCATAAAATTTAAACAACATCCAATAACCTTTGTGGTGTAAAAACAACAGAATGTAAAAACAAAACAAACAAAAAAAAAATCAGAGGGGGAAGGAATATTTCTATAACTATTACAATGTTATGCTTCAGAAACGACTAAACCATATTAAAAAGAATTCCCTAAGTATGATCACACTTCTGTGTAATGTTCATGTTCTGTGTGTAATTGCTTGTTTAATTTAATTTAATATTAATGCATGATCAAGATATTTATGCTTTCATTGTATTATTTTAAAAATATATCTTACAAATCTGTAAATATGTTGAGATGTTCTAGTGTGCAAATAAATGCTAATATTCCTTAAGCTATATATAATGGGCCTGGGAGTGTTGATTACCTTAAATATTGATCCCGTCCTTGTGACTAAGAAAGTGACCTTGTATTTTCCATTGATGTTTGTCACTGGTTTGATTACTTTGTGTTCCTTTGTTCCATTCTTCCTCAGTTCATGAATAAAGCAATCATAGAGGTTAAGTGAATGGCCTTGAATTGGACTTGATTGCAAGTCTCCAGATAGCTGCTATTTAAAATGTGGCCTTTTTTCCATGTAAAGCACAGGATTTTAATGAAAATGACCACTCTATGTGCTTTCTTTTGTTGTAGGCTCGTGGGGTCAGTGTATCGGGGAGGTGTGTGGTTCCAGTGGAGTCCAGACAAGGACGATATGGTGTGTCCACATAGAGGGCTGGACCACCCATCACTCTCACTGCCAGCATGTGGAAAAGCCGGAAAGTAAACGGCAATGTTTTAAGATCTGCAACTGGCACCAGGATCTCTTTGAATGGGAAATTTCTGACTGGGGGGACTGTGTTCTTGTTTCTTTCTTTTCCAATGAACTCAAATTGAGGACCACTGAGTGTATTACAGCCCAGCATGGCATTCAGAGGCGCAATATCCACTGTGTTCGAACTTCCAATCGAAGTACCGTCAGCATAAGGATATGTGAGTTCTTTTCACAGAAACCTCCTGTGGAGCAAGCGTGCCTCATCCCTTGTCCTCAGGACTGTGTAGTTTCAGACTTTAATTCGTGGTCAAGTTGCAGTAAAACCTGTGGTGCTGGTCTTCAGCATCGAACTAGAGACGTCCTTGCCGCACCAATGTATGGAGGAGATAACTGCCCTAATCTAACTGAGAGAAGGACTTGTACTAACTCTGTTGACTGCCCTCTTGCAGAAGGTGAGTACCAGTACAGTCTTAAAGTTGGGGCATGGAGTAAGTGTCGACTACCGCATAACAAGGATGCCTTCTTAAATGGAAGGACAACAGTGGACTTTGGTGCTAGCTCCAGTGACAACAACTCAGTTATGCTACATACATTGGATTCTAACAACCAGTTTAATCATCACCGGTACCACCACCACAATGCTCATGTGCATTTAAGGTACCCCATGTCATGGGACTTGGAAGTGGGATATCAGACACGACATGTACGCTGTGCAAGAAATGATGGAAAGAATGTCATGCTAAGGTAAGAGGATTGTATGTTGATAATAAAAACATTTTTTACATTCACTGGGTACATTATTAGGTACACCTTGCTAGTAAGGAGTTGCAGCATTTTAGCCTTCACATCACAATACAGTGAACTGATTCTAATGTTCAATAAACTGGTTAGAGATTTTGTGAGTCTTGTGACAAAGTGAATTATCTTGCTGGAAAATGGGTACACTGTGGTTTTACAGTAATAGTCATGATGAGCAGCATTACTTTTGGTATCTTGTGGAGTTTAAGGTGTGCTGATTCTTAGTGAGGAGCCTTAAAAGTGCCAGAAAGTAAAGCCTCACAAAATGACACCCCCCAACATCCTGTACTGTTGGGGAAAAGAAGGATGGATCCATGCTTTCATCTGGCTGAAATCCACACCCATTGGAATATACAGCATTATTCCAATCTGTTATTGTCAAATTTTGCACAGCCGTGAATTGTTCCTGTTCTGAGCTCAAAATGTGGTATTTTGCTCTTGTGGCTTATCATCTTTAAGTCTTGATAATTTGTACATTTACAGTAGATATATTATTTATCATACTGTAGCAACACTGAGGGGTTACTTGAACAAATTAAACTTTTCTATCACACTCACCTTGTAGATGTAAAAGGGATGTAAAAATCCGGTTCGCCAAGGCCGATGTACTGTACCTTTTAGACATTGTATGTCTATTCTACAAAGCAGCTTGATCTATTAGGTAATCAGAAAAAAAAATAAAGAAGTTAACAGTTTGCTGATGGGGTAATTGATTCATTTGATTCAGGTGTCTTGGATTAGGTTCTCAAACATCTAAAGATTGCAGTATACTGCCCCTCAGGCACTTGAATTTGACACACCCATATTATCCATTCAACCAGTTTGGCACCATATCCATGCTCAAAGTCACCTAAATCCCAAAATGTTACACATTTTTATGTTCAGTTTGAAATTCAAAATGTGATATTCATTATCTCTAGTTGAGTTTGAGTTTCTGCAATGTAATTGTCTTTTGCACAACCAAGCAATTTTGGAAGACGACCTAATTATGTGGCTGACTAGTATTTGTGAACATAGTATTACTGGAAGCAAACAGACACTCTACTGTTCTTACACAATAAAAATGTATGATTTAAAACATGCATGAAAATTACATGTTTCTGATTTTATGCTGCAAAAGCCATTCAATAACAGTTCTACCAATATGTTTCACCACTTTCTGATGTTAATATCTTATTCTACACCAATACTCTTCTCTTACACAATGGTCAAACATCCCAAACACTGAATTATTTTTCAAGAATATCTTACACCAAAAGATTTGATCTTGACCTTTATGGAGCATTTATCGGACATTTGTAGCATAAAAAGACTGGTCTCATTCAACTGCAGAACACACGCATGATTTTAGAAATTGTAGGATAGTTGCAGGGTAAAGTAAGATTTTATAATGATTACGATCAAAATTAAAGGTCCTTTTCCCCTAACTTGATGATATTGACAATAAGTGTGATGACATCACAGCTTTTTAAATATTTTTTTAGATTAAAGGAATAGTACACCCAAAACATGATTAGCCTTCATTTTCTACTCACCCCCATGCTGAACAACACTCTGGAGTACTTTTTTGATATCTCAAATGCATCTGGAGATCTGGGAGGCTTCTTGCTGTCTGCTGACATTCAAATAATGGAGGTCTATTGTGCCCGAGACAGAAAGGTCCATAAAAGTCCACAAAAACGTGTCAATATTCCTCCATACTGCTCGTCCAATGTATTCCAAGTGTCCTGAGTGGGTAGCATCCAGAATGTACTCGAAACAAAGTCATTTAGAATGTTTTTAGAGCATAAACAGTAGTGTATAGGATTTCCTGAAAGCGCGCACATGCGCGTTCACGACGCTACGGAAGCCGGCACACCAAACCAGATGAAAGTGCGCATTCAGCGTCTGCTCTGCCAATAATGCAAGCGTAGAAGAAGAAATGTGCTGTTTACCTGTGCAAAGAAAGAAACAACGAAAGAAAAATGTCTGAGGACTTCAGTGTTGAGGAAGAGCGTGAGTTCTTTGCCGAGCTGAATGCGCTGGTTTGGTCTGCCGGCTTCCGTAGCTTCGTGAACGCGCATTTGCGCGCTTTCAGGAAATCCTATACACTACTGTTTATGCTCTAAAAACATTCTAAATGACTTCGTTTCGAGTAAATTCTGGATGCTACCCACTCAGGACACTTGGAATACTTTGGACGAGCAGTATGGAGGAATATTGACACGTTTTTGTGGACTTTTATGGACCTTTCACAATAGACCTCCATTATTTGAATGTCAGCAGACAGCAAGAAGCCTCCCAGATCTCCAGATGCATTTGAGATATCAAAAAAGTACTCCAGAGTGTTGTTCAGCATGGGGGTGAGTAGAAAATGAAGGCTAATCATGTTTTGGGTGTACTATTCCTTTAAGTTATTCACAGAAAATAAGAGCTGATCATTACTTTTGTGGTTACTATTATTTTCTAATCACAACCAAGTGCTGTCTGTGTCTAAAATTGCCAGAGCAGGGAATACGTAAGACAACTCTTTCCTGAGAAATAGAGAACTTTGGAATGTTTATCATCACAGCAGTTGGCTGCCATTGTGCAGTGCCCGGTGAGCATTGTGGGGTTGAGGGTCTTGCTTAGGGAGCCAGAGTGGCAGACTGTGGGAGTGGGGCTTGAACTCAGAACCTCTGGGATCCAAGCTCAATGCCCTAACCAATAGGCCACCACCACTAACCTACCCATCAATATTTATTTTATGATTTACCTATCTTCACACATATTGTCAGGTTTGATGAAATTAGTTGAGGACCCAAAATGCAGGGATGAGGAGGCAGAGATGAGTTCTTGCAGGTTTAATTTAAATGCAGACAGCAACAGAAGCACAAATCCAGGAACAAAAAAACAAGAAACCCAAACCATTGGACACCAGGAAGGAACGCACGAGGAGCAAAGCAATAAAGAGAATCCAGCATTGAGGAACTGTAGAGGAGGAGTTAGCCTATATATTGGAAAACAGAACCAAGAGTGGAGTAATCAGTTAATCATTGGGAGCAGGTATGGATAGAAGATGCTAGAAAGGAGCTAAGGGACAGGGGTACTAGGGGGCAACAAAGAGTAACCACAGAAAACAGGGTTTACAGTAACTGTAACTGAAAACAACTTAAATAAGGCCAAAGGAGAATAAACTAATGACTACAAAATAAGGAACAAGAAAGAGGAAAACTATAGCATAAGAGAATGGACTGGATAACTGAAGCCATTGATAACATACCCGTAGGGTAAGTGAAAGAAAATCTAACTAAAACTAGAACAAGGAATATATAATTGAGAAAAGGCTGAAAAAGAATAACATGGAAGAGTAAAACTAAGAATTTAAAAATGATAAAAAAAAATCCTAACAATACAGAATAACATAAAATAAAGCATAAGTGAGAACCCAAAATTAAAACTTACACAAAGCCAGAAAATCCAGAATGGCAGAGCATGATACATATCTCTTCATTTGATTTTAATATTTACTTTAACACTTAATCTGATGTGTACATACAGGCTTAATTACATTATTACATAATGACTTGTTCATCACATTACCATTTGATTACTTGTACATTCAATTGATGACTTTTTGTTTATTTTTATCTCTTTATTATTTCTTCTATTTATTCACATCTATTTTTCTATCTATGTAACCTCCTTCCTTACTAAGATGTAATTTTTATTTTGAATTTGGAGACAAGCTGTTTTGTTCACATAGAGCAGGATGGTGTCAAAATGCTCTTTATGGATGTCTGTTATTTAATCTGTATAACTGGATTATGTGAGAGTCGGTGTTTCAGCAGCATGTTGGCAGGGAGGTGAGGTATTATTGTGTTAAATGTTAAGTGGTACTCCCGTCAGTTGCTGCTTTTCAGTCGACCCTGGTATTTGGATTTGATAAGAATGGATTTTTCTACACACATACATGCAACACAAATACATACACCCCCCTTACACACATACGCACACACACACAATTGGGCTTCCATCATTGAGGGAGAAAAATCATTGCATCTATATTGAGGTTTGTTGTTTAAATGCCACTAAATACCATCCTCTTGTTGTATAGTGACACCATTATGCAGCTCTTAAACTTAATTTCAGAATGCCATTCATAGAAGCCTGTATATCAGATACAACCTTTTTATTCAATACTGACTACATAGTGCTTGTTATTGTTTAGATAAATTGGCTGTTGCAATCATGAAGTGTGACATGTTTGCTGTTCTCTGCTTCTTTTGGGGAAAAAAAAAAACAAAACTAAAATTTGGACTCACAGCCATCAAGTCAGGTATTGTTTACATCAGGTTAATTAATCTAAGATGGAGGCTTCTGTTTTATTCACCTTGTACAGTGTACAGTAGCATTTCAAAGATGGGTAGAGAACCAGACATTGTACCTAAATAAAAGTAACTCTTCCTCATCATATTTCTACTTGAGTAAAAAAGTAGCCATTTGAATTTGCTCAGGCAAAACTGAAAAAGTATCTGGTAAAAAAGGCTACTAAACTACTGAGTAACTAATTGCAACATTTGGTATTTAAATTGTGCATTAAGAAATAGACCAAAATTAAAAGTTATGTGCAAATTCTTTTAAAAATCATAAAAACAATTAAAACAACACATAATGTAGTTGACAATTAACAATTCCAGTCAGAAGAAACACCTTTCCATCCCAAATTTGTTTTTAACATAAAACTAAAAAAAAAAAAAAAAACTTCTAGTGATAATATTTACTCCTTACTATAGGTTAGCTTTTTAAGGTAGGATAAGGTTAACTCTTGTACAAAAAAAGGTCACTCATTTTGACATAGCATTAACTGTGTGACTTTGTGAGGATCACTTTCTATCAGAAACAAGCTTGTTGGTTATTTGGTGAAGTTACTAATGAGAGCCAAACATTTTACTCAAGTAAAGGTACAGGTGCTGGTCATAAAATTAGAATATCATGAAAAAGTAGATTGATTTCAGTAATTCCATTTAAAAAGTGAAACTTGTATATTATATTCATACATTACATACAAACTCATATATTTCAGATGTTTATTTTGTTTAATTTTGATGATTACAAATGACAACAAATGAAAATCTCAAATTCATCATATCAGAAAATTAGAATATTACTGAAGACCAATAAAAACAAAGGATTTAGAGAAATGTTGGCCAACTGAAAAGTATGAACATGAAAAGTATGAGCATGTACAGCACTCAGTATTTAGTTGGGCCTCCTTTGGCCTGTATTACTGCAGCAATGCGGCGTGGCATGGAGTCGATCAGTCTGTGGCACTGCTCAGGTGTTATGATAGCCCAGGTTGCTCTAATAGTGGCTTTTAGCTCTTCTGAATTGTTGGGTCTGGTGTATTGCATCTTCTTCTTCACAATACCCCATAGATTTTCTATGGGGTTAAGGTCAGGAGAGTTTGCTGGCCAATTAAGAACAGGGATACCATGGTCCTTCAACCAGGTACTGGTAGCTTTGGCACTGTGTGCAGGTGCCAAGTCCTGTTGGAAAATGAAATCTGCATCTCCAAAAAGTTGGTCAGCTGCAGGAAGCATGAAGTGCTCTAAAACTTCCTGGTATGTGGCTGCGTTGACCCTGGACCTCAGAAAACACAATGGACCAACACCAGCAGATGACATGGCACCCCAAACCCTCACTGACTGTGGAAACTTTACACTGGACTTCAAGCAACGTGGATGAAGTGCCTCTCTTCTTTTCCTCCAGACTCTGGGACCTTGATTTCCAAAGGAAATGCAAAATTTACTTTCATCAGAGAACATGACTTTGGACCACTCACCAGCAGTCCAGTCCTGTTTCTCTTTAGCCCAGGCAAGACGCTACTGACGCTGTCTGTGGTTCAAGAGTGGCTTGACACAAGGAATGCGACAGCAGAAACCCATGTCTTTCATACGTCTGTGTGTGGTGGTTCTTGAAGCACTCACTCCAGCTGCAGTCCACTCTTTGTGAATCTCCCCCACATTTTTGAATGGGTTTTGTTTCACAATCCTCTCCAGGGTGCGGTTATCTCTCTTGCTTGTACACTTTTTTCGACCACATCTTTTCCTTCCCTTCGCCTCTCTATTAATGTGCTTGGACACTGAGCTCTGTGAACAGCCAGCCTCTTTAGCGATGACCTTTTGTGTCTTGCCCTCCTTGTGCAAGGTGTCGATGGTCGTCTTTTGGACAACTGTCAAGTCAGCAGTCTTCCCCATGATTGTGTAGCCTATAGAACTAGACTGAAAGACCATTTAAAGGCTTTTGCAGGTGGTTTGAGTTAATTAGCTGATTAGAGTGTGGCACCAGGGGCCATCAATTTTGAACCTTTTCACAATATTCTAATTTTCTGATATGATGAATTTGAGATTTTCATTTGTTGTCATTTGTAATCATCAAAATTAAACAAAATAAACATCTGAAATATATGAGTTTGTATGTAATGTATGAATATAATATACAAGTTTCACTTTTTAAATGGAATTACTGAAATCAATCTACTTTTTCATGATATTCTAATTTTATGACCAGCACCTGTAGATATGTTTACTAAAATGTTAGTCAAGTAAAACTAAAAGTATGGTGCTGTTAAGCTTCTCCTTAAAGTATAATTTTGTCAAAAGTTTACTCAAGTAACTGTAATTGAGTAATTTTAACTAGTCATACTCTTTAAAGGTACGGTGACTTTATTTTACAAAGGTATCATTTGCATCAAAAATAGACTTGAGCTTGTTGTTAAATACACTTGGGGCTCGTCCCTTTTCAATATAAATATAGTGTTACAGTATTTAATGTTTGGTTCTTTCTGATTGTAGAATATAAAGGAAGATGTACTCACTGCTTATAATTAATAAGCTCATTATTTGTATTGCCCAGGTAATCAACTGAAACTTGAATTCAGTGACAAATAGAGCCTTTTCAGTAATTTAGGAAAGCAAATTGGCTAATTCAAGTACTTATGAATGGACAACTTTTATCACAGAAGATGAAGTAAATGAACTGATTTTTTTATACCAAAAGGAATTAGGCAAAGTTCATTTGTTCTCCATACAGCTCAATATATCTGGAAGATTCATTAGATTCTCCAGGCATGTGATATTTTAAATGTTACTTAATGAGTTCTGTCCACTAATCCATTTAAATCCCAACCACACCCGGGGCCTGCACTATAATTAAAGTTCAATGTAACCAGCTGGCCTATGGTAAAGGGCTGTAAGACCCTGTGCAAATATTAAATTTAAAGCTCATGCTACGCTATTTGCTCTTGAATATTTTTTTTTTTTTCATTATTCTGCTCTCCCAAAACAGAAAAAAAATAACAACTTTGTGGAGAACTGCGTAACATGAGAAGTACACAGAGTAATTTACACATTTTGTGCAATTTGAATATGTTTGTCTTATCTGAAGACCCTGATAAGCACTGTTGCATTTACAATTCCTCTATTATAAACCTAACATGGCCAAATTAAGCTGGTTCTGAATTAGATTATTATTTTTATGATTGAGAGAAATTAAATGAATTTTTAAATACTAAATCAATGTAATGGAAGTGTACAAGTATTTTAATAAATTCCACCTTTTAGCAGCTTGGCTGTCCTTGATGCATTCCTGATCACAGTTTCTCAGTCCTTTTGAACAAGCAATGTGTTTCTGAAGCTATAGCATGGTTTCTCCTAAAAATAATTTTATCTCAACTGTCAAAAGATGCCTGTTGCATTTTTTCCAGCAATTTTCATACATAACTGGCTAGCCACAAAGGCACATGATGTTAAAGCCATTTTACTGTTACAGATTTTGTGCAGCCAATGAAACACTTCTGTTCCCCAGCATTGTCTTTCATTACCCTACCTTTCTTAAATTCCATTTGAATCTCAATAACTGTGTTGAAAATGTTACTGATTAATTTCTGCTTTTTAAGTTTTGTGTATTTTTATTTTAAAATGTACATTTACAACAGCATAACACTAATACTGTAAAATATATCCCTAATATGAAGCAAAGGCTATAATACCTAAATACAAACAATGTAAATCTATTGTCTCACAAAGCCCACCAATAACCGAAAAAATCATGCTGCAGATTTCAGATTCATCTATGTCTGGCATTAATAAGAAAGAATAAGAAAATAGGCATAGGAAGTACACAGTAGGAATTCACAATAACAACCTGCTTTCTCATGTGGTGCACTCTAAAAACCTCTGTGGTGAAAGGAGAGGAAAGTTCATGCAGCTAACCCAACTCAGGGTCATATACTCAGCAGTCAATCCGCATATTTTCATTTCCAAACAAATTCCGAAACTTGAATATTGATATCTGCAAATCCTATTACTGTTATTTCTACCATTTGCTTTAGTGTTATCATAATAACTGTTGCTTTAAAAGAGACTGTAATAAACTCCTTTCTACAGGCTAGAATGGTATGAATACAATATATATTATGTATATCTCAAAAGGCAATTTTAGATTGATTTAGTCTTAAAATGAAGTAATAAAAACAGTAAATCAGGTTAACAAAACATATTCCATCCTGATAACTATTTGATTTTAGAAATAGTGAATCCATATCCTCCTGTGGATGCACACTTTTCAACTATACCCGATATAAGATGTCAGTAGAGATTTTTAAATATTATTATTTATTTTATTAAATATTATTATTTAATTTATATTATTTTAAACATTATAATATAAAAGCGTATTTATTTGCATGTTGTTGCTGTTTGAGTATCAGAGATGAGCATGTGCGTTGTTAGATCCTTTGCCAATTTCAAACCACTTTTTACTGAGACAGTGTGATTGAGTGGGCCTGTATCACGACCAGGAAAAGCAAAGCTTGTTATCAGAGGAAGATATTTAATTTTATATAGGTATTAAGATAAGTCATGATCTTAAATTCTACTACCATTAAAAAAGAAAACAAAAAATGTTGCTGTCTTTATTTCCCACCTCCCAACACTGTATTTGAATCATTTAAGTTCATTTTAATGTTGAACTCCTTTTAACCACTTTGGAAAAATAAAATAAATGACTTTTATTTGTGGTTTAAATTAGCCTTACAAATTATATCACACTAAAAAATTTAGACAATGAAATTTATTGTCCCCACTGTATAAATTGTGCACAGTAAACTATGACTTTTCAAATTAACTATTTAGACAAACCATGAATGTTATTATAAGCTTGCAACATTTTTTTTTTTAATAAAAATGCTTATGCTGTGGTGTTAACAATTTTCTTTGATTAAGCTCAGTAAAATTATACTTCTTAAGTCTACCATCCTTCATTTTCATATTCGTAAAAATAAAAGGTTTTCATGAAAGTTTGATCAGGCTGTTGTATAGCTCAAGATGTCATTTTGTGAACAGGAACATCTTTTTAAGACCCCAAAAAGCATCAGCAGATATTACTGTCATAAACTTTAGTTTCAGAAATAAGTCATTTTATTTTTCAAGGCTGTACTTTTAAAAGATGAAATTGTCCAGTGAGCTGTTTCCAAAAGAAATGTCTTTTTGTTTTACACTTGTGTAAACAAAATGACAAATAAAATCTATCTGAAGTCTAAAAGTCTGTTATATCAGGGAGCAAATTCTGTCAGACTTGATAATAGAGTCTTCTCAATCTTCAGTCTATGTACCAAGGACAACACTCCGTTGACCTACCAGGCGTGTGTGATGCCCAAAGACTGCCAAACTTCTGATTGGTCATCATGGAGTTACTGCTCAAAGACCTGCCAATCCACCGACCTGTCTCCTGGGTATCGGCTCCGGACACGGATCATGACACAGATTCCATATGGAGGAGGAAAACAATGTCCTGCTCTTGAGGAAAAGGAGGCCTGCAACATTATCGGGGATTTGCTTCCAAAATGTCCAAGGTATTCATACAAACAGCATATGTTATTTCGTTATCATGCTCAGTGCCCACAGAAAACAAACTCAAGTCATAATTAAGCTTCTAATCATAACAGTTGTTTTTTTCTTTTCATTTTGACTCTTTTTTTTTATTTGATCAAAAAACAAAAGAACAACGACAAAACCTGAATATGCTATTAGAACAAAAAAGATCAGTTGTTTGGGCTTAGGGTAGAAAGACTCCTGAAAGTTGTTGCACTGAAGTTGGAATATGTTTTAGCTAATAAAAAAAGCACTGAACAAAGTAATCAGTGGAGAATTACATTCTGTGCTAGTTAGTTTGGTTTTTTTTCCTTTAAATTTAAATGGAGCGCCTGAGAGCAGGGGATTTACGTGATTAGGGGAAAACTCATTACAGAAATTAAGCATTTGATAGATTACCAGGGGCTGTTGTTCCAGTAATCTCCTCAAATATTATTGCTTTCTGCATCATTGCATACTGAATTTCGTAGTTGAAACCAAACATTTATTTAGAAGTTTTGAAAACAAAAATAATCATCACACCGTTTTTTTGACTGACTAAAAGAAGTACCAAAGAAGGAAGATTATATTTTTATATTTTTCCTTGATTTTTAAAAGCAGCTGTAAATTTATTGTATAAACTGAATCTTAATCCTCCTTAATTGTTTATTGTTATTCACATTCACTTAGATGTATATTTGTTTGTTAAATGGCAGATTAACTTTTGAAAGGTCTGCATGTCTGATGAGAACTTTTTAACTTCTTTCCCATTGATTAAAAAAAACAAACAAAAAAAATGTTTCCCTTAAATATTTTCACATTCTGTCTCTGTCCCACCACATATTTTGTGTGTCTTTTATTGAGACTTTGCATAAAAAAAATCAATGCATATTGATTATAAATGTGAAATTGAAGCAAACCAATACAGTATATGGTTTCACAGTATTTTCCCCCCAATTCCCCTTTTCAGTCGGATACCTCTTGAGTAAAATCCAGTGCAGTAAATTGCCAAGCCATAGCTTTCTGTCTAAACTGACTGGCCAGCTAAGAGGAACAATAATGAAAAAAAGCAATCAAAAGATCCATTGTAACTCTTGCAGAGCTGCAGAGACCAACAGATTAAGAGGCAGATTCTGCTGACTGGACTGTTACTTCTGCACTTCCCAGTTCTGGACTTTATGTAAAAGTGGTAAGAAAAGTACCATTATTTGAAGAAAGGATCGAGTATTCTGGTAACAGTTTTCCAAAGGCAGCATAAAGTATAAACAATAATAGAAAAAAAAAGACAAAGAGGTTGATCCGGTCAAAAAGTAGAAAAGTGAAACTTTCTGGTTTACCTGTTAAATTGCTTTTTGTTGTACTGAGGGAAAGCGTCTAACAGTATGATACTTTTACTAACAATGTTTTACAATAAGAGTGCAGTTCTCAGGGGTGGGAGAAACCAAACACTGCAAAATATCTGAATAGAATAGAATATATAATAGAATACAATAGTTTAATTATTGCTGAATTTTGCAAGCTTACTATACAAGAATTTTTTTCTAGCTGGCTCAATAATGAAAAAAATATCAAATCAAAGCAGTACAATGTAGAGCAGTTTTAGCAGCAACAAAATAGTTTATCAGCAATAAAATTTAAACTGTTGAGAATAGTGAAGATATTATGTGAAAACATTGTCTGCAAAAGGCTGATATATGATCTAAAACTATTACAGAGGTTTATATCTTTGTAATGAGATACTGTAGGTTTTTTTGTTGTAACAGGATAACGCTTTCCTTGTTTTTGTCAGGTTTATCTCTTAACAGGCATTATCTAAGCAGTATTTTTGAATTTATCATTTAACAAATTCAGTAAGCTAAAAAATGAACTAAATAAAACCAAAAGCAAGTATTTTTTAATGTTTAATACACTTTTACTTTTAAAGATCATCATCATCATCAAACCAACAGAGAAAAGGAGTTAATCATGCTAAATAATGCGACTGATAAAACTATCATTCTGAATGAAACTGAATAAGTCAGTAAAGGCTGATATCAAAGCATCATTAGTTTTTTTTGTTTTTGCTATTATTAAAGGGTTTTCTAGTTTCAACAAGATACATCCATACATTTTTGATCATGTTTCCATGTCTGTAAGAGTTGAAGAACAGCAGTAACTAGGTTGAATGGGGAGCAGGGTTATGCACTTTCCTGTATGGGAAATAAATGAGCAAAACTGCACATTTTCATGACATTGGACAGTATGTTAGAGCTGACAGCTGTTTTTTCCATTATGATCTAATCAGACTGAGCCGACAGAAGAGGATTAGGGCCACTGAAAAAATAAAAAAAAAGTTTAATATAGGGAAAAAAGTTAGAATTCTGACTTTAATCTCTGAATTCTAACCTAAATCTCAGAATTCTGACTTTTTTCTCAGAATTCTGACTTTAATCTCAAAATTCTGACTGAATTCCCACAGCTAACAAACATGTTAGCATCAAGCTGTAGCCATGTCTGTTTTAGAGATTAGCTCTCTTGTTTTAATCACTGTCTGCTCTTCCATTAATAAAATAGCATCATCGGGTACCCCTTGGGCACATAAAAAGTCGCCTAATTCCATTGTTTTCCACCTATGTGGTACTGGCCCTCCTAAACAACTCACATCTTTTTCGGTGAAGCTGAGGTTTCCCACATTTCTTCCTTCCTGGGCCCATCTACATTAAGATCCAAAATTCTGAGATTAAAGTCAGCATTCTGAGAAAAAAAGTCTGAATTCTGAGATAAAAAGCCAGAATTCCTAGATTAAAGTCAGAATTCTGAGATTAAAGTTAGAATTCTGAGAAAAAAGTGAGAGCTCTAAGATTGAAGTCAGACTTCTGTGATAAAAGTCAGAATTCAGATTTTTTTTTCACATATTAAACTGAAACAAAATTTTAAAATCAGTTAACTTTTTTTTCTTTTTTTCAGTGGCCATAATCCTCTTCTGTATGAGCCTGAGCTTCTTTGTAAAAGTGAATTTGTAGAAATTTCAATTTCTAGACCTATGAAGCTGAGAGAGACTTCCCCTAAAAAAGTTATGAGAGTAACTATATGAAAAGTGAGGTCTACAAACCATTGGCTTGGTTTGGCTAAAAAAACAAACCAAGTATAATTATCAGTTGTTTTTTTTTTTAACATCTTAAAACAATGTGTTCTTGTTCTTCTACCTGATCATAAGGAACTACCCTTTTTTGGATAGTGAATAATGTCAAGACATATTTGTGATTTTTAGTTGTGTAAACAAATATTAAAAGGTTTGAGTCAAGATGTAAGAGTTATTCTGTATGACAAAGTTTTCTCATACCTTTGTGTTTACTAAGGTACACTTGGAAGACTACAGATTGGGGTGAATGCCGCATTCGACCCTTAATAGGGCAGCAGGATCGACGGCGGGCTAACATCAGTATGCTGTGTGGAGAAGGGGTCCAGACCAGGAGCACCTACTGTGTTCAAGTCCTTGATGATTCAGCACCACATTACAGGAAGGAAGGTAGGCTAAATAGAGTTGTCGTTCTTGAAACATTCCTGAACTTGAAACATTGGTGAACTTAAGTTTTTCAAAGTGGTAGATTTAATGATGCCCCAGAAAGGCTTCAGTCACAGGACAGTTTTCAATAAAAAAAAAAAATTAAAATAAAAAAAAAGTATTAACCTTCAAATATTTTTGCTGCTTGTATTTTTGTGAACTTCCTTCATAATTTCCTTATGAAGTAGCATTCTTTTGAGCAAGCATAATACATCATTTTGGACAGAGAATCAGAACTAAAAACACATGAAGTTATGCCAAAGAATTAGAGATTGACTGAAAAATGTAATTAGATTTATTTCAACTTTAAAAAAAAAGGTTTAATATATATAATATTTTGACAGGTAACAAAGCATTGAGATGTTAGCATCAAGGCCATTGCTACAATTTTTCATCAAAACAATACATTATCAAAAATAATACACAGAATATCTAGAGTCGCACAGAATAAAAATATTCATTTTTATTAAAATATTAATTTTCTTTAAAAAAAAATATAGTATATAGATAATCCAGAAGAACGAGAAGGATCGGCCTCCATTCTGCTTAAATACATTAGTGCTCCAACTACAGATCGCTCGAGTGCGAGCCAACAGAATTGACAATGACTCCAAGAAAGTGTTAAAAAAGTTTTTAGAAAAATGAGCCTGTTTTGTTGTTATCATGCTAAAGCCTTTTTTCTAACCATCATTGTATTGTAATACTGTGGTTTTTAGAATAATAAAATTACCTTTACAGTCCCTTAGTGGGGAATTTTAGCTTCTATTTAAGGGTATCATACCATGAGAAAAACCCTCTACTTTTTCACTAGTAAATTCTACACATTGAAGTTACAAAAAAAAAGAAAACTTTGTTATTCATTTTAAATGCAAAAATCAATAACCAAAGATAACTTAATGATAGATTCAAGAAGTTTCCTCACAGAATGAATCACCATAAATTAAGACAAAAAAATGTTACTTTAAAATAAAGGAGACAGGCTGTGGCATATTAAGTATTAATCATTTATCATTTTAATTAAGCGCAGTGGGGCCCTTTTAATGAGTCTCAATTGAAATATTCTTTATTCTTTCTGCAAATAACACCCTTTGCTGCATAATGAATAAAACAAATTGACAGTTGAAAGCATACCAATTTAGACATCAATATTTCCTCCTAGCGTTTAGTGAACTTATGCTTTTGAACAAGGTTGGAAAAAAAATGAAAACATTAAGTGACAAGTTTGTTGCAACAAAGCCTTAACATATGGCTAAAGTAAGCAGTGCATGTACTGTGATGTGAAGTTCCTTTTTAGTTTTTGATTCAACTTAAGATAAAAACAATTTATGGAAAAAAATAAAATAATCTCAGTGTTTGAACAAGGATATCATTTTCAAATAGAAAATAAAAAATCATGCAAATTATTGTGAGTAAAATAAAAAACAATTAGATATTTTGTCATTTTTCTACAGGCTCTTAATCAAATGGAAATTTTCCTCTCAATGTTCCAAGCTACATTAACGTGACATATTAGATTTAGATCTCTCTCTGGGTTGTGGACAGGCAAAGAATACCCTTTCACACTGAAAGAGATCCACGTCAGTGCTCATCACAGGTGGTTCAGCTGTCATACTTAGTCATAAACTGGTTTCAACATGTCTTGATTTAATGCCTCTTAGTTTTCCCTTCAGCTGCCAACTGCCCTATATTTTATGGTCTCCTAAGTCTGTCATCAGAAGAGCAATACCCTCTGGCCTTTCCACTTGTTACTCCCTTATAAGCTTTGCTAAACTTCTATCCACGGTGTGCAAAGTTTGAAGTGGTAGCCTTTAACAATAAATGCTATCCTGTCTTCCAAGTCAGGACTGAATTAAATCAATACTTTGCAATCTGACAGCAGTGAGTCTTCTTGATCTCTCTCTCTCTCTGCATCACCCAACCCACATGTCTGCTAGGAGTCCAATCCTAAACATATTACCTGGCAGAAATTTCTATCACTCACACATCCCCCATAACACACACACACACACACACACACACACACACACACATCCACACACCATACAGCTGAATCTGTATGGTTTTCCTTGAGCTTGGTTTATCCTTCTCTGTGTGTTCTTTTCTGTTTGTTTGTTCAGTGTCCAGGCCTGTGAATGCCTGGCTGTGTGATGGAGATGATCCTCCATTGGCTGTTCAAAACTGCACCATTGCTTGCCAGCATCAGTGCTTGCTGTCCCAGTGGTCGCCCTGGAGTGCCTGCCTCCAGGAAAACTGCACAGAACCTCAAGGGAAGAGAGGTATGATAGAAAACAAAGCATGACATGAAAACAACCAAGGTTTGGCTTTTCAAAAATATAAAAAATATGTAAATGTACATCCTCACAAAGGTCCTATTGCAAGTGTTATTGGGTTAAACTTTTTTATACAATCAATGTATCTCAATGTCTATGCATAGCATTACTTTAGTCAGATTCATATTATTTCTGTGACCATTGTCGTTTCTTGTTTCATTAAATGAGGGGTATCAACAAATGTGCATTGCTGATACCCCTCATTTAATGAAACAAGAAACGACAGTGGTCACAGAAATAATATGAATCTGACTAAAGTAATATTCAATAGAAATCTATGAAAATGAAGAAACAGATGACCTTCAGACTTTTTAAGCATACTTCGACTGAAAGATTTTTTAAAAACAAACTCATGAAACAGACCTGGACAAAAATGATGGTACCCTTAAAAAAAGACTAAACGTGTGCCCAAACATTCTTTTTAAATCAAGGTTTGTCCACTAACCAGCATCACAGGTGTCTATAATCTTGTAACCATTCAGTGAGCCTATATAGGGCTACAGGTGATCACTGTGCTGTTTGGCCACAAGGTACCACAGTCAACACAGACCAGAGGAAGTAAAGGAAAGAGTTGTCTTAAGGGATAAGAATGAAAATTCTAGACATGCCTGTTAAAGGTAAAGGCTATTAGACCATCCCAAAGTAGGGCTGGGCAATAATTCAATAACGGTATATATCGATCGATAGACGTGTGGCGCAATAGAAAAAAAGAGGGGCGATAAAAGTTCAATAAAGAAACGCAGTTTTTCTTCCTTCTCATTGTAGCCTATGTTTAAAGATGGAAAAATGAACCATATCAAGAAAGAACACTGTCCTTTCTGTGAAACATGGAGGGGGCTCTGTTATGTTGTGGGTCTGCTTTGCTTCATTTGGCATTTGGCAACCTGTGCCTGCAGTTTTGTGTGGGAAGCTGGGGGATGGCTGGCACCTGGGCTCAGGTGGCTGGCGTGCCGTATTTGGCCTATTGGGATGGACTTCCTGGGTTGCAATTGCCTGGCAGCCATGAGTATATAGTATGTGGCCCTGGAATGGCTGTAACTCGCTGGGGGCGGGATGAGGCTCTTCGGCTACCTGCTCTGGCAGGTGTCCAGTTTATGTTGGGATGCCACGGAGGGGATGTGGTCGAGCTGTCAGGGGGGTTGTGCCTCCTCGGCTGAGTGGGGATGGTGTTTGGGGTTAGTCTTGGGCTACACTTCTGCTCTCCTCGCTATCATGGCACCCTCTCCCTGCCCCTCTTTTTTTGCCTATCAGCCTAACAGGACTGGGGGGTCTGGGGATCTACCCCTTGGTCCCCTAGCCTCCAGACACAGGAGGATAGTATATACATGAGGAGTGTAAGGATATGTTTAGTGTCTGCCCCTGTGTGAACTCTGAGTGCTTGTATATGTCGGTATGGGTGTAAGGCTGGGATTATGTAAATGTAACTTGATGAATGGGAAGCTGTCTTTGTCCACTTGTGAGGTTGGGTGTTTGCGCAGGACCTGCCTCCTTACCCTTCTTAAGCTCCCCACCAGTGACAGGTGCCTGTGTCTGCTGGCACACTGATTGTTCTGTAGTTGTGGGGTGCTGTCTTGGGTGAGCCACCTAGTCCTGTGGGGTCCCTACCATAACTTTGGGCACAGGAGCTCTTATCTGGGTCCACCTTTGGTATGTCCAGGTGCTGTCAGAGCCTATGGGCTCACTGCCATGGCATTGTGGCACCTAGGCACTATGGCCTCTGTAGTCAGGCGCCTCAGAAACTGGGTCGCTTTGGTGTTTTGCTCCCTGGGGTTGGGCTCCAGGTGCTCTCGTCCGCCCTTCTCCGGTAGGCGTGGCCATACCTATATCTGCCCTCCTGGTGTCCCGGTGATCTGTGGTGCCTCTTAATATCTGTGGCCGGGATTGCTTCTGTATTTGTTTGGGAGCTTGTAGGGTCAGTCTGGGGCTGCCCACACCTGCTATAAAGCATATTTTCCTTCTGAAGAAGCTTGTGAATCCCTTATACATGAACATACCCATGTGTATATACCACAGGAATTTCGTTCCAGGTGTTCATGGATACACACTATTGCTAAACACTAAGTTACAGCTTTAGATATATACCACCCGGAATAATATTGTGTGATCACCATCGGTTTTGCCTTCCACACATATAGCTTTCTGTTCTTGAAGCATTTTTTAGGGTTTACTTTGGATGTCTGTTGTCTTCTTTTTGCTGTTGTTATGTTATATGTTTTCTGTTCTTCTCTTCTCACCCAGGTGTGAAAGCAGACTTCTAGGAGTTACTGTATATCTTCTGTGTTGTCTATTTTTGCAGTCTTGTTCTATTTTTTCTCTATTTATGCACTCTTTCCTTCCTCCATCTCTTTCTCTCTTCCCTTAGTTCTTATCCCCTCTTTCTCACCGCCTTTTTCCATCACCATGTCTGTTGTATACGATTTTACTACCTAAATCAGTTTCAATAGTTTCATATACAAATATCAGGCAGAAACTTATGGCAACAGTTATAATTGGTCTGCTTGTGAAAACAAAGCTGTTTAGCTGTCATCTAGCTCTGGGACAACTATTCCCAGAGCCATATTGGCAGAACAGTAGACAAAGAAATAATCTCTGCAGGGCGCAAATAAATGCTGGTGAAGATTCTCAGCCATCCAGGTCATAGTCATTCCAAAATAATGGCTATGACAAATAAATCTTAACACTTAAAACAAATAAACCTTAACACTATGTAGAAAAAAAATGTGTTGCACTATGACAGAATAATGACCCAAAACATCAAGTTAAAAATACCGAAAAATGGCTAAGAGGGGAACATTGGACTTTTCTGTGATGGCCATTTATGACCCTGACCTAAATGCTATTGAGGACCTTTGGAAGGATATGGAACATGCTGTCTGCAAAAGCACCCTTGAAACCTGAGAAACTGGAGCAGTTTCCTCATGAGTAGTGGGCCAAAATACTTGCTGAGAGGGGCAGAAGTTTCATTGACAGTTACAAGAATTGTTTGATTGGAATGATTAACTCAAATTGTTGTGCAACAATATATGAAGTAAAGGGTACCATCACTGTTGTGAAAGCCTGTTTATTTTTTCCATTAATTATGTCGGGGCATGGTTGTAAAGAGGTGTCGTTTTATTTCATTATATATATATATATATATATATATATATATATATATATATATATATATATATATATATATATATATATATATATATATATATAAAATGTGACATGAAGTCATAAGTTGGATTTCTCAACAATGCTGCTGCAATAACACATTAAATTAATTTAATTTTCCTAACAAAAAAACAAACAAACAAAAAAAAGTGTCCTAACCTGGTGATGGATTTTGCTTCACATTTATTAAGGAACTAAAATCCTATTGATTGTTTTGACTTTGTTTTAGTTTGCCTATTATCAGTGTTCTCCCTTCATTAAACCTTTGTTATTTTCGGTCTTGTCTCTAGTTATCCTTCACCATCTGCTTTCCTATTTCCAAAAGATGTTTTGCAATTTCTTTCCCCAAAAGTCATGTTCTATTTTCTTGCATGTCCTGCAATCTAACCTTGTGCGAGGATTTTTCTTGCTCTTGCACTGTGAAGTTATTAGTAGCTTCCAGCCACCATACTTCCTTTATGCATTGTCTTTTGTGTAAAATGTTCATTAACACTTCTAATGTTAACAAGGGAACAAGAAAAAGCATTTTGAACAACTATAATTCAACATAGAGAGTTTGGAGTCAATTTTGATTTGTATGAAATACACACAGATACACAGATACATTGGTCACGGGATCTGCAGCTGGATCTTATTGCCTTGTGAACAGACTAAGAAGACCGGAAGTAGTTGGAGGGTGATGGCGCCCACTATGGCTGTGGCTGACTTTTATTGTGAATTAAATTTGTTACTTAATGGAGCTGAAATGCATTTTCAAATGTAACAGAACATCAACATAGCTGTGTGCACATTTGTAGTGTAAACACAGCTGTTGTCAGTTGCAGAGAGGGGGAAACTGGCCCATATCATCGCACCACAGTGGCCCATATCATCATCCACCACAGTGATTTTAAACCCTGCCAATCAAGGCACACTGCTCTGCATGTTTTAGATGTTTCTCTACTTTAAAGTAAAAGTCCAGTCACATTACTTTTCACCTACTTTTCAATAAATGATAAGTGTTTTTAATTAAAGGAATTTTCTTTGAATGTGCTTTACCGGAGTCATCCCTGTTTATCAAAGAACACTAGTGCCACCAACTGGTTTGTGACGTCACGGTGCGGTATCCGCTGTTGAGCAAGTCCCAGTGCTGTATCTGGTGTTGGTCGCAACGCGCTATTATCCATGATGGAGATGACCAGTGCACTATGCAAAGCTGCAAGTAACGGATTAATGACGTGGTTTTTCTCTGGCCAAAAGTTTGATGGCAAATCCTTCCTCTTCCAGTTGGAAATCCAATGATGAACCTGTGGTGGATCATAAATTGGAAATGTGATATAACTATTTTTTTTTTACTTTTACCCAATGAATTACAACATTCAACTGCCATGCACGTGGGTATTGTCAGTTTAACTATATTTGAATTTCAGTGGTGAAGTCCTCTCAAAATCTCATTAATTGTTGTTGATTGCAGGCGTGGTTATTAGTTCCCATTGATTTAGCTTGTAAAGTGGGGAGAATGGCCTTCGGCTTATCGCATCGTGACATCACTGCCGGAAAATGTCAGGAACGAGGTGTTACTATATTTGTGTAAAAATGGACGTTCCAGGACTCGGCGGCAGCGATGAAAAATTTAGTTTTTATTTTATTTATTGATTAACGCTAAATTCATTAAATCATCAAGAAACTCACTACTGCTCCACCATACCGGTATGTTTAAACTTTATGTTGACCATTTTTAACTAAATCTAAGTATGCCACCTTTTTATATTTTTTTCTTATGTGTACCTGTACCTTTCATTTGCATA